TTTTCAGTTTTGTTTAATCTTTCTTTAAATACAATTTAAAAAAATGACTTTCTCTTATCTTAAATTCTTATATATTTGTATTTATGAATCCTGATCTGTTCTATTTTTGAATGATTATCTTTGGGCTTTTAGTTCTGTGACTTTGTACTAATTTTATAGGTTAAACATTTGTTATTATTTTTTCAGATTATGTATCTGTCCATTTTTACAGTTAGACTTGATGACCTTTAAAATTATTTGGTCAAACTAACAAAAAGCCCTACTAGCCCTATTCAGCTGGGGTTTTTTTGTTTTTGTTTTTGTTTTTGTTTTTTTTTTTTTTTTGGTATTTCTAGATGAATTGACAATAAGTGACACTTTTATGATATTAAAGTAGATTTAATTCTTGTTTTATCTCAGCAGCATTTTATGTGCTGAGATAATGTAGATCCTGGCCATTTGACCCCACTTTTATTGGTACACGTTCATGATGCATGATAGTTATAATCATCTGGGGACGTGGTACATGCACATGTTGCCCCTAATCCCTGTTACCTCCTCTGCTCTTCCCTGACCTCCCTTTGCTCCCTTCCTCAGTCCCCTTCCCATCTCCAGAAGTCTACGTTTCTCTTTCCTACCTTCTCTCTTAGATTATTTATAGTTAGATTTATTTATAGTTCTCATATAAGAGAACCTTTTGATTCTGATTTATTTTAGTTAGCATTATGGTCTCAAGATGAACAGAGTTTCCTACTGAATGGATTGAATGAAATCCTTCTTTTGACTGTTTAGTTTCATTGTGTGTTTGTAACACACTGTGCAGTGAAACATCAAAAGAAATTACTTATTAGGTACTAACATAACCAAGACAGTGAACAAACTCTAAGTGAAAAGTATATCACTCTGAGAAAGGAAATCAAAGAGGAGCTCAGAAAATGGAAAGATATTTCCTATTCCTCAATAGGCAGAACCAATATAATCAAAATGGCTATATTTTCAAAACTGATATACAGATTCAATGCAATTTCAGACAAAATACTAACAGCGTTTCTCACAATCCTAGAGAAAACAACCCTAAAGGAAACAACCTCTAATGGCCAGTGATGATTACTACAAATTCAGAATACATTGAGATACCACATTGCCCCAGAAAAAATGGCTGTCATCAAGAAATCAAATAACAAATGTTGGTGAGAATGTAGGGAGAAGAGGAACTCTTCTACACTGTTGGTGAGAATGTAAACTAGTACAACCACCAGGAAAATCAGTGTAGAGATTCTTCAAAAAATTAAAAGCAAAATTTCCATTTGACCTAACTATCCCTTTTCTCGGTATTTCCTCTAGAGTCAAAGTCATCAAATTATAGGAATATGTAAACATCCATATTTATAGCAACACAATTTAACACAAATTTATAGCAATACAAATTTACAAATTTCACAATACAAATTTACAATTTAATTTACAAACATAAATTTAAACAATTATCTTTATTAGAAATACATTTATAATATAAATTATAAATATAAATATAAATGTATTATAAATATATTTATAATTTATAGTATAAATTTATAATAGTGAGATCTTAGAAACAGCATATATGTCAACTAACAGATGATTGAATAAAGAAAGTATATATCTACATACGTATGAATATATATATGATCAATAAGGAGGAATTATGTATTATCTATTCTATTGTTTTAAAACTCCTTAAAAAATATAGTAATTTATTTCATTTGTACTACTAGTTTCTTTTTGTTCTTTAAAAAGAAAGTTTTTTCCCTTTTATTTATTTGTTTATTCATTGTAAGAATCATTTTTCACCTGACTTATTCTCGAAGTACCATTTTGGCTATTCCTTTAAGATCATGATAGCAATATATTAACCATTGCTATCTATGCTCTATTTTGTTAGGAGATTTTGTTTTAGTTTTTCCTATAAGTAGGAAGACTGCTTTGTTTATATTTTGTTTGTTCATATCTACCTGTATTACATTAAAATAAAAAAGCTAGTATGATATTGGCAGTGGGTTTATCATAACTGGCTTTTATCAGTTTGAGATAAGGTTTTTACACCTCTGTTTCATGATCATATATTGGATTTTGTCCAAGACTTTTTGTGCATATTCTAAGATAATGAGACTTTTCCGTTTGTGTCTATTTGTGTGATATATTGATTTATATATGTTGCACCATACTTGCACCCATAGGATGAAGCTGATATGGCCAATATATAATCTTTTTAATGATTTGTTATATTCTCTTCGCAATTATGGTGTTGAGAATTTTTGCATCTGCGTTCATTAAGGAAATTGGCTTATACTTTTCTTTTTCTGTTGAGTCCTTGTCTGCTTTTAGTATCAGGATAATTTTAGCTTTAAGGAGCAAGTTTGACAGCGCTCCTTCACTTTTAATTTTGTGAAAGAGTTTCAGTATGACTTGTTCTTTCTTGTAGTTCTGGTAAAATCCTGTGATGAGTTCATCAGTCCTCAGCTTTCTTTTTGTTGGGAGCAGGCGGTTAATTCCTGGCTTGTAGTCAATCAAAGAAAATAAATCTAACTGCAACCCTTGGAAAGTCTGCTTAGGGGGCTGTGAAACAAGGAAAAGCACCCAAAAGACAAAATCCACATCAGCTGGCAAGGACTAGATATAAGAGGACAGGTACGTAAGGGACATCTGTCAGGAACACCTAGAGAGTCCAGGAGTAAATCAAGGGAAGGAGACATTTTTCTAGTGCAGTAACTACATTCAGCCTTCAGCAGATTACCATTACTGTAGCCCTCTAGTCAGTGCCAGCATCTTTCTTCAGGGTTTCCTTCTTTATTTCAAAGTTTTCCAGAATTTTGCTTCCATAGTTTAACTCAGAATAATTCCACACAAATCAAACCCTATTCACATTTCACTGTCTTTGTTTTTTCCTCTCCCTATCTTCTTCCTGGTTCCTTTTCTTTTTCCCTTAGCTTTTCCCCAGCTCCTATACTTTCATTCTTGTAAAGTCTCTTTTTTCTTTTTTATTCCTTTTGGTAACCCAATCATAATCCTAACTTCAGCTGGTAAACAGGCATAGTGTTTGTGGGGCAGTTTTATCAGAGAGCTTGTAACTTGAGGAATCAGTGACCTAAAAAACGTAAGTGCTTGGAAAGCTCGGAGTCCCCTTTACCTTTATCATGGTTTAGTCTTTCCCTTTATTGCATATAGTTTCCCCTTGCTTCTGCTTTCAAAATTTTTGTCACTTTTATTTTCTGCTTTTAGATCTCTAACGTTTCAAACAGTGCCTGACATGTAGAAAGAACTCCTTTGATCGACCCTTTTTATCTATGAGTTCCGCACCCAGATTCAGTTAGTGGCAGGGAGTGTGCTATGTACTGTGGTTGTGTTTGTATTGAACACATTCTGACATTTTTGTTGCCATTGTTCCCTTAACAATAAAGCATTACAATTATTACCTGGTGTTTATATTGTTATACTGCTGTTAGATATTATAAGTTATATAACTATGATATATAGTATATAGGAGTATGTGTACAGAGTATGTGCAAACACTATCTTAATTAATTAATTTATGGTGAAGAAAATTGAATCCAGGGCCTCACACAGGCTAGACAACTTCTCTACTACTGAGCTACATTCCTGGCTCCGATACTGTTTTCTGTAAGGGAATTGAACATCCACAGATTCGGTATCTGTGGATGGGTGTGGTATACTGGGATGTCATGTTTGTTAAAAGAATTAAGAGAGATTCTTGATGAATAAACAAATCTGACATTTCTTCTTACTGTACACACCGCAGTTTTTCTTGTAAGTGCTTCAACGATGCCATTTTTCATTGTGGAAGCATGGTATGGGGCTTTTGTGCGATAATTTAAACATCAGGATATTTCTAGCAGAAATTTTTAATGTTCTAATCTACCAACTGACCCATTTTCATAAAATAAGATGTTTGCATTTTAACAACTCTCTGTACATTTCCTTTGCCATGTTTCAAGAATATATATTTGATATATGTAAAGCCAGCAAAAAAAAAAAAAAAAAAAAAAAAAGACCAGCTTTTATCTGTCTTTGTTTTTCAAGTGCTTTGTGTATCCTTCCTAAAGTAGGGGTGAAGACTTAAATATAGAAAAAATGTGTGAAAAACTGAAAACTATTAAGTACATCGCAGATCATCCTTCTAATGTGTTTTCACTATTTGCTCAGTCTCTTTAAATTAGAAATCCTAATACAGATGAAGAAATATTTATTCTACACGTGGAACTAAGCACAGAGAAAATGTTGGGTTTGCCTAATAATTTTCAGAATTGTGCCCTTTCTTGTGAGTTACCTCAGAACTGAAATGGTGAAGTGATTTGTTCTTTTATGTTGCTGTTGCATGAGAATATTTTGGGGGTAAAAACAAGTGAAATAAAAACAAAATTACTACAATCACTTTCTACAATTACTACACCACTTCTCAAATCTACAGTCACTTTCTCCATTCTAAACCCTAGGATTTCCAAAATATCTCTTAAATCTCTGCAATTGCAAGGAATTGCTTTTGCTACACTGCAGAGGACACGTTATAATGAATTAAAAGTTGCCCTGAATTAAAACAGCTGAAGAAATCATGGGCAGATAATAGTAAAGTGTGCTAGATATTTGCTAATGTGTGAGGATGTGTCACAAATCCTGCATCAGGCTGGATGTCTTCTTGCTCTTGGCTGATGTTGATGGGTCTGGTCATGAGAGGTGGGCTGGCATTCAATCTAAAGATGGACTATATGATTGTCAGAAGTTCCAAGATATGGAAAAAGCATGGCTTAATGTTAAGGTTAGAGTGCATTCATACTGAATCCTAACAGCTGCTGACTCACTATATGATCTAGAAAAAAGACATCTCAGAGTCTTAGTGTACCTTTGTGAAAATGAGAGGTAGCCTTGATACCTACACAAGTGGGCTGTTGTGAGAACTGGCTGGTAGACCCTCAGTTAGCAGTTATGAATCCCAGTAATCACCTGTTGTCTTTCCATTTCTCCACCAGGTACCTCGGGATCACCAGGCCTCTCACTTACCCTGTGCGACAGAATGGGAAATGTATGGCAAAAATGATCCTTTCAGTCTGGCTTCTCTCGGCCTCCATCACTCTGCCCCCGCTCTTTGGATGGGCTCAGAACGTGAACGATGACAAGGTTTGCTTGATCAGCCAGGACTTTGGCTACACGATCTATTCCACAGCGGTGGCATTTTACATCCCCATGTCGGTCATGCTGTTCATGTACTACCGGATTTACAAGGCTGCCAGGAAGAGTGCTGCCAAACACAAGTTCCCTGGCTTCCCTCGTGTGCAGCCCGAGAGCATCATCTCTCTGAACGGCATGGTGAAGCTACAGAAGGAGGTGGAAGAGTGTGCGAATCTTTCTAGACTCCTCAAACACGAAAGGAAAAACATCTCCATTTTTAAGAGGGAACAGAAGGCAGCCACCACCTTGGGGATCATCGTTGGGGCCTTCACCGTGTGCTGGCTGCCCTTCTTCCTCCTCTCCACAGCCAGGCCCTTTATCTGCGGCACTGCCTGCAGTTGCATCCCGCTGTGGGTGGAGAGGACATGCCTGTGGCTGGGCTATGCAAACTCTCTTATTAACCCTTTTATATATGCCTTCTTCAACCGGGACCTGAGGACCACCTACCGCAGCCTGCTCCAGTGCCAGTACCGGAATATCAACCGGAAGCTCTCGGCTGCGGGCATGCACGAGGCCCTGAAGCTCGCAGAGAGGCCAGAGAGACCCGAGTGTGTGCTGTAAGGTCATTTACCTCTGTTCCCTTTATCCCAAAAGCATGTATGCAGCTCCCTGAGGTGTATCACAAAAACCGCCCTGAATTAGTAAATATTTTCTACTTAACATGCTAGAGTAGAATTCAGAATAGTATAGACTCCAGTCTTCCACCAGTAAATTTTCAAAATCCTGAGAGAAACTTCCCCGTGGTGGGAAGAAACAGAGAATTCCATCCAAAAGGAACCTTTCCATTCCCTTTGTCCAGTCCCTTACGGTTTGACAAGTGGTACCTGAGACTTGGACAGATACCCCACACTTAGCTAGTGTCACAGTTCAAATCTAGATACCACACCGTCTAAAGCCTACTGCCACACATTTTTTATGTACTATGTTGTCTTTATCTTATAACTTAAAATTGTTAGGCTATAAATATGTTAATTCTTGAGCTTGAGCAACTTCATAGGTACTCATTTTTACTAATATTTATATACTGTTTGTACATAGGAAATTATTCACAATGTAAAGAGTAATTTTAAAAAGGTAATGTTATTTTAGGTTCTAGAATATGTTCCATGAAGACCTGGTGATCTTTCTAGACCTGTAATATTCCATTGAATTTACTATTAGTATTTACTGAGCAGATTTCAAAATTTTTAAGGGAGGGAGGTTAGCCTTGAGTTTCTATTTGCAGAATCCAGTACAGTAGCTGACATAGTGGATGGTTAATAATGAAAATAACTGCTAAAACTATGAAACAGTGGCTACATGATATGTATCATACTACTTGAAAGTAGATGCTTACAGTATACCCAAATTTTAGAAGAATAACTTGAGATTCAGGGAAATAAATGACCTATTATCACATGGTTGTAGTGTGAAATAACTCAGCATATATTCTCTTAACCATAATGTAATACTGCTTGTCAAGATTGTAGTCCAGAGACACTGAAGAGGTACTGAATATTAAGAGCTTACAGTTGTAGCTATCAGCTCTCTAAGAATCCAAATAGAATGAGCTATTATTTAGGGTAAGTTAAGCTTATTAGATTTACTGCATTATGGGGTGATATCTCTTAGAAAGAGTAGTTTCATGGAGGAAATAAGACAGGAAATTGATAGAGTTTTAGGACTTGAGCTGGGTGGTTTTAAGATAAAGGACTGGGGAGGACTGGAAAGGGATTATGATATAATAGTGTTTGGTAGGTGCAGTAAGATGAAGGCTTTGAAGTTAAGTATTAACAAATTATTGGTATTAATAAGTAAGATATTTTAGTTGGTATACAGTTGTATTTCTTGGAAGCAACTATTTCTTGGAACTTATGGCTAGGCTATTTTGCCTGGTCCTAGGATTGTTTAGCCCAGAAAAAGGAACGAATGTTGGTTTCAGTTCTCAGGAGTCATATGATGAGGGGTGTATTTGCAGAAACTCTTTGACAATAGTGAGAAAGCCAGATAAAAGGGCAAGACTGGGGAGTAGGGGAGGTCCATTAAGCAGCCTAAGGAAATATAAGGACTGCCCTGAACTAGAAACTCATTATACTTGCATACGTTCTTTAGAGTCAAAGATCTTGAGAATAATTTTGATTATTTTAGCTAATAATTCACAAATAATTCAGGTAACAAAATGATAATTTTTAAAGTGTACTATTAATGGGTTTTCCAGTTTAAAATTAATAATAATAATAATAATAATAATAACCCATTTATTACAGATTCATTTTCAGGCACTATGCTGGGCATTCTATAGGAATTGTATCATTTAATCCTCAAAACTTTATGATAAATTCAATTTCTTTCTCTCCATTGTGAATATGACAAAACAAGGGTTTGGGAAGATCATGTAGTTTTCCCACCTTAATACAGACGGGAGCTGAACTGGAGCCCAGGAAGTCTGAGTTCAAAGTGATTTCAGTTTTCATGCTACTGTACTTTTTATAAAAGTCAAGCAGTAATATAAAGTACAAGGATATTTGCATTCATGTCTTTAACTCCTTGGCTTGGGTGTTGTTTTCTTACAAGATTAAGAAAATTCTTACTGTGAGTGGCCAAACTGTAAATATTTAAAGCTTTGCTAGTCATACGGTATCCATGGAAACTACTCCTCTCTGTCTTTGTTATCTGGTTAAGTTAATAAATGCAAATGGGTATGTATCAATAAAGCTTTATTTATAAAAGGAGAGGGTAGCCAGCTGAATTTGGCCCATAAGGCACAGTTTGCTATACTTTGTTAAGAGAATTGTTATCCTCTTATTATATATCTCTGTTTGAATTTTATAGGATATAAAAATCATTTAGGAAGATTGGCATAAAAATACAAATTTTAGGAGATTTCTAGTAATAGAGCTGCTGTATAGACTTGGAGTAACTGTTATTTTTTTTTCACTAACTCTACACCAGGCAGTTTTCTAGTTAACACTGATATTGGACTATTTATTTTTCAGTTCTTTTTAATGTAATTTCCATGACCTGAGGTGGTTTCAGAAATTATGACAGCTCTCTTGTTCTCATAGTTGTATTTTCTTATTGAACATGTGATAGAAATACACTCATATGCTGCTATGATCTAAATGTTGTGTTTCTCTCAAATTCTTATGTTGGATTTCAGTCTCCAGTGCAATAGTATTGAAAGGTGAGGCTTTTATGAGGTGATTAAGTCATGAGGGTTCTATTTCAATGTATGGGATTAGTGCTCTTAAAATGGGACCTGAGGGAATTTGTTTGTGACTTTTCCCATTTGAAAAGATGGCTAGAAAGCACTGTCTTGTGAACTAGCCACCAAATTTGATGATAACTTCTAGTAATTTTTGTTGTTCACAAGGTACCTTGATTATGGACTTTCTAGCATCTACAAATAAAATGCGGTTATTTGTGAGTAACTGAGTTTATGGTATTTTGTTATAGCAGCCCAAATGGACGAAGACATGTACATTCAGTATTTTTTTAAAACAAGGAAAAGTGGAGACTGGGAAAGCTTAGGATCAAAGGAGAGGAAAATAACTCAGAGCTCACACTAATGCTGACCAGGGACTTCCTAAAGAAAGATGTTCTTCCAAGTATGTCTCTGAACATAGGGGAAGCCTGTGTATCTAAAGATGAACAGAAAGGGTACTCCAGGTGACGGGGCATTTTATATAGAGGTACCAATGTGGGAAGTTATGAAAATGACAGCCTGCTAAAGCTAAGCACTGTGTTAAGGAAAGAGCTGGCGATCAGAGCAGAAAGATGCATTAAAGCAACATTATAAATAATCTTCTAGGCCAGCTCTAAGAATTTGTATTTTTAATGTGGATAAGTGGTTCTCAACTCAGAGTAATTTTGCCCTCTTTCCTGGAGACATTTGGCAATGCCTGGAGCTGTATTTGGTTGTTATCACTAAAGGTGTACGTGGTGAACTACTGGCACTGCCTCAGTAGAAGCCAGAGAAGATGCTAAAGATTCTACAGTTCACAAATCAGCCACCCATAACAAAGAGTTAGCCAGCCTATAATCTAAGGCTGACAAACACTGATGCAGATAGTGGTAAACTTTACATAAATTTCTACAGCTAGGAGATAGAGTCATCACAGTAATAGAGACTGATCTAGTAGCATTTGTGAGATGAACCAGAGTTAGAGGCTGGGTGTAGAGTTCCTTGATTGATTTGTTTTTTTTTCCAGAAACACTTGAGGACCTACTGTGTGTGAGACGTGGCACCAGATCTGGCAGGAATAAAAGATAAATACATGACAGTCATTGACACTGGAAGCTCGTATAAGTAATATGATTGAAAAATAAGAATGTTTAAATTGAAAAAATATTGCAATAAAATCACATTGCCTCAAAATACTAGCCCTCATTTTGAACATGTTTATCTCACCATTCTTGCCATTTTATTAAGCAGTTCTGGAAAGTCACTTTTCATGAATGACATTAGTTGCACTATTGTGGCTACTTGAATATCTTGAGCTGTTTGAAAACGTTTACCTTTCATAGTCCTCTTGACTTTGGGGAAGAGCCAGAAGTAGCATGGTACCAGACTTAGTGAATGAGGTAGATGAGGACACATCATCATGGTCTTATGAGCCTGCTTGTCTGTTGGATGACACTTGGCAACAGCATTCAGTATAGTTTCGCTCACACCTTATAAAGACATGGACCTCGGGGCCTTCCAGATCTGCTTCTGAAAGTGGCAAGAACAATGTTTAATGTGAACAGTGTTCAAAGCGAGAGAAAATGTTTTGAGGGGTATTAATGCCAATGTGCCTTTTACTATACTACTTTGGAAAAACTTTGAACACTCAGTGTATGTTTTGGTCAGCTTATGTAGTCCACTGGGCTAGGTGCTGTTGGGGTGGTGGTTGCTAGTAAAAGAATTGTAAAAACCCAATGGTCCACAGTCTTTATAGTTGCATTAAATTAACTTCTAGTTGGATATCCCAAAAACCCTACCAGATCTGAATGACGTAATATGCTAGTTTCTGGGGTTTCTAGAATGACAAAGGGCGTCCAATTCATACCTCATAGAAAACCTCACCATCCTCCTCCCTCCATTCCTCCTATATCCAGAGGTCACTTTAAGGACTCTGGGCCCCCTCTCTGGTTTCTCCAAATTTTTCTTCCCATGTAGCTATTTGGGTTCTAATTTATTTCTGCCTCTTCTGCTGCATTCTTGACCTATTTTTTTCTCCCTCATAACAGTTTCCATTCTTTCCTGTATAAACAATCTACTAGGATGTGTGTTGCTACTTCCACACATTTACCCCTTTCTTCTCATTTTCTTAATCAGCATAAACAGCCTCAGGAATCCCACAAGCACTTGAGTTTTCCTTGAGTGAACAGAGTGAATACAAGGATAAAAACCTGTTAATACTTTTGCATTGATAGTTCACTATTACCAATTTTAATCTTTCTTGCGGTTTCATGAATGTTCCAATATTGGTAACCAAAACCAAATATGATAATGTTATATAAGCAAGATTTTTTTCTTTTTAACCTTATGACTTTACTTATGGATTTGAATTACCATAAAGTGCTTTTAAATGTCATGTTTTGATAACTTGTTTTTTGATGCCATTTGCAGTCTTCCTATATAAAATAATGTCATGAAATTGTTTTGAAGTACCTCTTTTTTCCCCTTTTTCTTTATCTCCTTGGTTATTATAATGTATTTCTCTTCAAAGAGCCTCTTATAATTTCTGTCAGTTGCAGTGGTTCTTTTTACAGCAAATTGTAGTAGAGTAACCTTGGGTTTCTGCTATGAATTCTGTCAATATGTGTCTCCAGGGTTTCTGCTGAAGCTTTGGAATTCAGGGTGCTTCTACCTTTTCTTTATGGAAACGGTAACATAAAAATAATAAAACAGAACGGAATGAATCCCAGAGGCAACTGGAAAAAATAGGAAGTGTACCAAAACCCTGGGTATCTTTGATATGTTGCTATTTTAAAAAAGACAGAAATAAACAAAAAGTTTACTATTTCCTGAATTTTCCCCCTCACAAACTAGCTGAAATTTAGCACTTTATTAAATCATCCACTAGTGATAATAATAATTGCATCCTTTGCAATTGTCTATATTTCAATTTTTCAGCAACATCTCCTTAAAGCAGAAAAGGTGGTGATTGCCCCATTTCGTTTGTTTGCAGTGCTGTAGATCAAACCAAGCAGGCCTCGTGCATGCTAAGAACATGTGTTTCCACTTAGTTATATATCCAGCTTGCCCGCTTTTACTCTATTTTTTTAGTAGACAATAAACACACCTAGCACAGTGTTAACATTAAGCAGTACAGAGGGATGTATTCTTAAGAAAAATACAGAGGAGCAGAATTCTTAGGGCAAAAGTGTCCATACAGGAAACATGACAGGGATGATATCTGAAATAGATCTAGAGGGGGTTGGAGGTGGACCTGAGAGGACAACATAATCAGAGGGGCACTGGGAAGCTGGTAAATGGCATCCGCTTGGAGGGCCTGATGGTTAGAACTAGGAGGAGAGAAATGAAAGCTTTTGTGCAGGAGTGAGCCCAAGCCACAGTGGCCATGAAGTAGGGAAGGCCTCACAATAGAAGGGATGTGGATTTTAAGACTAATGTAAAATCGGGCTTTGTTTAGAAGGCTTTCACTAGGAGGGTGATAGTGAGATTAGGAAATAAGCCAAGGGTGTCTGAGCATTTGGGAACTGGACTCCCCAGACCATCACCACTGGCTGGCAGAGGGTGATGAGGAATGGTGCTGTCAGTGAGGTTGGCAGGAGAAACTCAGTAGAGTCACAAACTGATGCCAATGCACTGTGAGCTGTAGAGGATGCCTGGGTGTGGTCTCTTCTGGGCACTGAGAAGAGAGAAAGTCCCCTGGCTAAAAGCAAGTGTCTGTGGAACATGAGTGTGGACACTATCTGTTTCCATTGCCCATTCCAGATGCCCAGGAGCCTGCAAAGCAGGGTCCAAGCTACTGCACAGCTTTTGTTCTGAGACCCTACTGTGTGAAGCTGAGGGGAAAAACGGGGCATTCTGTCTTATGGAGAAACAAATCCTGAGACCAGGAAATCCATCCACTGAGTCACACATCTGATAGACTAGACTGAGGAGGGGCTGTTAGATGAGGGGCAGCAGGACAGAAGGAATGATAGATAAATAAGGAGAGAGTTTTAGAGGATGTGGAGGCTGAGATTGGGAGCACATTGGCAGGTATGGTACTTCTAATCTTATCTCTGAAGCACAAAGCACAGTGTGGTGGTAAGTGGGGGCCTATGAAGGCAGGCAGGATGTTAGGGAAGTGTGGCTCTACGCCTAGGAGAGAAAGGACTTTCTCTTAGCTATTGGCTGGAACAGCTCCACAGCTCATGCCACTTTTGTAAATTTGGAAAGGAGGAAGTAAAGGAAGAAGGTTTTTTGTTCCTGCACATATAGATGACTTCAAACATTTTTAGGCTCGAAGGAGCGCACACTTCTCATTAGTGACTGTTCTTTTAGCCATCATTCTTTTCAAGTGGGGAAAGAGCTATTATATTTTGCAAGGATTTTGAGGAGCAAAAGCCATTTTGCTCTATGGCCTTATTGTTAGAGTTTTTAAATGGGCTATTTGGAGTTGATCTGCAAATATTTTAAGGGCTTGGCAACTTATATAAGTTACGAAATTTATGAAAAAAATCCCAGCACTTTGTCTTTCCCTTCGGTGATGCTCATAAACCCTTAGAAGCCACAAATGATTCAAATTACTGACTTATAAAAATTTAAATCCATCCATTACAAAAATGAAAACTCACATTTATGGCTCTTCTAAAACCTTTTCTTGTCTCTCTCTTTTTTATAGACAGAACTCTGACTACTGTAGAAAAAAAGGTCATGATTCATGATCCAAAGCAGAATAATGGAGATGAATTAAACAAGGCAAAACAGGTGGAAACTGAACGAAGTTATTTGCCAAGACTGCAAAATGGAATGCGGCTCTGCCCTTTCTCAGGATGGCTCAGACGTCACAAACAGGGTGATCTGTGGTACAGAGTATATTATGGGGAGACGGTGACTTCTTTGTTTTTCTGTGGTTCAGTGCTATTGTGTGCAAATGAAAATAGTTCTCAGCCTGATCATCTCAGCAGTCAGCACACTGACAGAACCGAGTTCTGGAAGGGCAGCAGTTTCTGGTGCTTTGTGTATGTGCACATCCATGCAGGTGGGAGAAGGTACCAGCGCACCTGTCCCTTGCTTCTAATGCTAGGCATTGTGGTGAATATTCATGAATCATTCATGAACCAGAATGTGTTTTGATCTATGACAAAAGAGTGTCTTTCCAGGAAAACTGTGGTAAGCATAGTGTGAGTATGTTGCATGTCCATGTTAGAAAACAAACTCCAGTCATCAGCTAATACAAATGATTTCCCCAGAGCAGTGTTTGTTTAAAGCTTCTGTCGAACAGTTTGGCTTTTCTGCAGGGTTCTGTGATTTCCCACTCTTTGTTAACTCCCTCATTGTTACCATATAACTCAGGAACAGGCCTCAGGATGAGGGAAGCAGAAAACCTGAGTTAATCTTTTTTCTTGCACTTGCACTTCTGAGGAGTCCTGGGAAGTGGAGGGATTTCTTTTGTGAGGATTTTTACTAGGATGAGGAATGAGCATTCCCTAACTGCATTGTATATTAATTAACATGCTTATTGGCATGTTGTTTACTCTCACTTTATATGAGGGTGTAATGAGCCCATGCCTCTGGTCCATAACCATCTGATATAAGGAAAAATTGTGACAAAAATAGGTTTCCATAAATGTTTGTGGTGCTTCTGGAGATGGAGCGTAAACATATTCATTCAGTAGAGTTATGTGAAATGGGAGGTTACCTGGACCACCACTGGGAAATGATCTAGAACCCCACTGTTCTATCTAAAGAACCTGTTTTCCTGTTCTCTGTATCTTACATCAAATGTGTTCCTGGGTAATTCTGTCCTGTTGCCCCTCCCCCTTCTCCGATAAAAATAGTAACATTATGGGCAGGTAAGGGAACAGAAATGGTCCTTTTAGGGGACAGTAGCATTTTTTTTTTAAATTAGTACCAAGTCTAAACTAAGGACACAGAAAGACTGTAGATCAGGAAGTACCTCTAACCCTTAGTAGAAAATGAGTGCAAACCGTCACTGAATAAAAGAGAACTGGAAGAGAATATTATTTACTACAGTGAAAGCAGCTGTCCTCTCAGAGGATAAAGCAGAATTCCGCCAAGGATTTTGGACTTCTTGCAACTGTCATTGACATTGCTTCTTACCAGGTATGGGGAAGGGCTGCCTGCAAGGGGAGCCTGACACTGTCCTTTCAGACAAAGCTTGTACAAATTCCCATACTGCAGACTTGCTAATGTGACCATATAAACTTATATTTACAATTTAAATGGTTAATTATGGTCAGATACATGTTGTTACATTTAAAAATGTTTTATTACATTACATCAAATAAAGGTTATTTGTAGCTGTAATAAAGCAACTTAAGTAATTGTTTTTAATGAAAAGTCTGATGTCGTGTGTTGTGATAGGAAAGATGGCAGAAGATGCTAAAATTCTAATAGCTGACAGTGTTGTGCTAACTTCAGTGTGCGGATTCAATCCTATAATAACATAATTTTAAAGTAATGACTTTATTTCTTGATTTGATTGATGGACATTTATTGGGCTCCCACATTGAGCACCGTAGGTATTGAAGGAATGTAGACATGTCTGACACAGTCTTTACTTGTGAGCATTTACCCAGGTAGAACACAGACATACCCCACAGTGTCACAATATAGAATAGTAAGTACTGTGTTTATTTAGGTTTTCAAAGATGTTTGTGTAATTTTCTATTAAGAATTTGATTATTCAAGTTGGCTTTTATCCTGCCTGACTTGCCCATGTTTTGAACTGTGGCCGCAGGGAGGAATGGACTTCATGAGTACACTGCACTTCAAGTACATGAAAGTGTGCTCAAAGAAATGGTAGCATTTGAAAGGAAATGAAAAAAATTCCCAATAATGAATACATATAACATAATTTGTGCTAAAGGTATAGCTTTCATTTTAACTAAGAGTTGAGAAAAATCATTGATGTAAACTTATAAATTTTTGTGATTTTAAAAATGAACATTATGACTAATCTCTCTTCTCATTCTGGGGTATCAGCTGTTGTCTTCTGGCAAGGCTAAGTTTTGGAAAGCCATACTTAGGAAGTGAAGTACTTAGGTAAATGAATCCCCGTTGCCTTAGTGCTTAGTTTTATTTTGTAAATATTAAACAGGTGGCACTCATACAGTTCCTGAATTTTATGGAAATTGTTTCACAAGTCTTCAAACATGTACCATGGTGTTTGAGATGCTTATGTATGTTCTAGACTTGGTGATTATATTTTTCATTCAGTCTCACTAGGTTCATTGATTGCAGAAATAAGATTGACAGTAGGAATTTAAAATGCAGTCTATTTTTCAAATAGTTTATGCTAATATAATTGAATTTCCATCTGGAGGTGGTGGGACTTTTCCTTTCTGTATTTCAATTATCAACTGAAGCCTCAATTTAATGGATATAAAATATATAAACCTTAACTTATTTCAAAGAGTCTGTATTCCTTCAGATCTCAGAACCTTCACACAAACTTTCCCCCTCTGTCTGAGATAATCTTCTTGCTCTCAGTTATTTTTTGATATATGCCTTTATCATTGCTCAGTGATTCTTTAATGGCAGAGACTTAATCCTTTTCCTGATCAATATGTTCTTTTATGTAGCATTAATTATTGGAATATCTATATCTATACATATATATATATATATATATGTATATACATATTGTAGACTTGCAATAACTATTTCTTAATGGTACTGTTTTTAATTTTCATATGAGGAACTGAGGCTAAATGGCATGACCAGTGAGTGGCAGAGGAACTGGAATTAAGCTCTTCCACACACACCATTAGTCTGGTCTTCTATATGGTGCTGCTTCTTTTGCATGAGTTCTCGTATCAAGAGAACGACATTTTCTTAATTTTCTGCACTAGTGGAGCAGAGCTGGGTACGTGCTATGGCCCGTATGTTGAAAAGTATTTATCTACAGTTAGCCAGATGGTCCTCAACAGCAGACAGAGAAGCCATTTGGAAACTTTCAGAGGGTCATCACATTCTGAAAACATTCAGAGCAATGCAGATAGGGATGCTGTTATTTACTCAAAGCTTACAGTGAGGAACACCATGTGAGATATTATGCATAAACATGCAAACTTTGAGAACCAGGTGATATAGTTCCCAGGCACAGATTTAATTGGATGGCTTTTTAAACTCATATTGTGTACACATTCTCTGGAGAATAAAAACAGCCTTCTAACATAAAAATGTTGCTTTATAGTTCCCTGCTAGCTTAAATAAAAAATTTAAAAATATTTGCTCAGGTGGTATAGGTTAGAAAAGAAAGATGTGATCAACAAAGTGTAAAAACCAAATGTTCTATGGCTAGTGTGAAATAGAGAAGTTGACCAGTAGAAGTAGCTTTGAAGATAGCAGTTCAGTTGAGATGTAGGCATTTTAAAGAAAGGTAAGATGAAATAATTATACTTGTGCTGGTAGAGGGGAGAAGTGGTAATCCAAAGCATCAGATGGTAAGAAATATCTGGAGTTTGTCTTTGATGTGTATTATGTAATATTTTTGGTGGCAAATTATCTTTCTTAATTACAATTCTATTGAGCTATTATCAAAATGTTCTATATTTTTTAAACCCACACAGTCTAACAGCAGGAGAGTTGGTTCAGAGCTACAATGATAGGCAGCAGAAAGTCAGCTGAAGATACAAAATCTTTCATTGATAATTCATAATTTCAGTAATACACTTAGAGGAAAATGAGGTAAGACTACACCCACAGAGAATCATGGCACTAGAGAATCTCATGGATGATCTATTTCAGTCTTCTATCACCTTGTAGAGGCAACAAAATTTTCAGCAACATCTGTGTTTTATCTAAATTTCTTTAAGGAGAATAGTATATAGCAGTGCTTTACAAATTATCTTTGATGAATTGTTATTTTAAAAATCTGTTACATACCTGTTCATTTGAAAAATATGAGCAAAACATATTCTAAGAAAAATATACAAAACATGTAGTATAGAGGACTGATGTTTTTCTTATTAGCATCAATATAAATATGATCAGAACAGACATGACATGGAGGGAAAAAAATCATGAAAATTGACCATTGTTCACTGAAAGAGAGCAGCTGCTGAACTAGGAAAACGTAGTGGTCCCTCTGTGATGAAATCACTGCAGCATACTCATTCCCTGTACAGGCAGGATATCAAGTTTGCAAGGCTCTTCTGTAGCATGCTGTGATGAGGGGGCCCTAACAAGAAGTACAAGGACTGCTAAGGAGCAGCTTGTCCCCGACATGAGCCCCGGAGCAGAATGATACAGAGGAGCTTCATGTTTCAGTCCACGCTCTGAAATAGCCATGAATCAGCTTCTAAATTACTGCAAAAAATTCCCCCAGGTTTTTTCTCTTAAAAGACCTATAGTTAGAATTCCCAATGCTGTTCTAAAAGTACTGAAAGGTATTTGTACTAGTCAATTTTCCAATCATTGAGACACAATACCCAACACCACAAAGAAAAGGGCTAAATTTAGCTTACGGATTTGGGGGATTCAGTCCATTTATCAGCTGGCTCCAGGGCAGAAACATGGTGGAAGGATGTAACAGAACAAAGATGCTAATAATGGGCGGGGAGCAGAGTAAGGGAACAGAAGCAGAGAGGAAGGGCTGATGGGCCAGAGACGGACCCTAAGGCCACATCTCCAAGTGTGCTCCCCCAATCACCTGGGTGGATCTCAAAGCAAGTCAAGTTGCCACTCCATCTTAACCACCATAATATTTAATTTAGGGTAAATATGTTAACTGTGTTGTTCCCAAGCAAAGAGATTCCTAAATTTTAACAGTGTCACCGACAAATTTTGAAGGCCACAGATAATGTTATTAGAAAGGTTTCTATGGAGTGATCACAATATTTATATCTGAAAAATATTGTTTATAAAGCAAAATCTGAGTAAGATGTGTAGATTCTTGGACTCCATTTTAAGGCATTCTGATATGTTATAGTCTGGGGTAGGGCGCAGAATGGAGAAGCCATTTAACCAACCTCCCCTGTGATTCCTATGCTGCTGATCTGGATTCCAAATGTTGAGAATTTCTGGGTTTTTTTCATTTTAAAAAGATTAAGATAAAAGAGGACATAACAAAAAAGATCAGAACAGAACAATTTAAGCAACATACTGTTTCACCATAAGACAACCTGACATAACAGTAGCTACCATAGTTTCTCTTTCCTTGAAAGTTGAGTATACCCTCATACGCTATAGTATCAAACACAACAAAGTAGTATAAAACCATTCAAGAGAATGAAAGTATTACAGGGTATTCAGAACCAACTAACAGAAAACAAACAATGGTTACTTTATTATCTCCTTGTCCATAAAAAAAATTTGTTTATATTATCACACATAATAAAATCCAATAAGATACAACATGATAGAACCAATGGAGACAGAAGAACAAAAGCATGGTAAGACTTTAAAACAAGATGATATTAAATCAGCACTGGATATTATAATGTCTTGTTTTCTTCAAAATAGCTGTTCATATCATCACAGACAATAAAATCAAGCAACCCAGAATAAAACCATTCCAACCAATGAGTGAAAACATTATAAGGCTTCAAAGCAATATAATGGGGAATCATGATTACCATATACTTTTATGTATTCTTACCATTTCTTCCACTAGGGAGACTATATGGTATTTATACATGTGAGTTTGATTTTTTTCACTTATGAGTATGGTCTCAAGCTGCATCCATTTATTTATAAATATCAGAATGTGATCATTCTTTATAGCTGAGTAGTACTCCATTGTATAAAAATACCATAACTTTTTTATCCATTCCTCAGTTGATGGACACTTAGGTTGTTTCCAAGATCTGGCTATTACAAATTGTGTTGTTACAAACATGGGTGCACATATATCACTGTGGTATGATGTTTTCAGTTCTTCTGGGAATATGCCTAGAAGTGGAATAGCTGGATCAAATGTAACTTCCAATCCCAGCTTTTTGAGAAATCTCCACACTGACCTCCACAATGGTTGCACCAATCTATACTCCCACCATCAGTGCAGGAGAATTCCTTTTTCCCCACAGCCTCTGCAGCATTTGTTGTTGGTAGATTTATTGAACCTGGCCATTCTTTCTGGAGTGAGACGGAATCTCAGTGTGGTTTTAATCTGCATTTCTCTAATGAGTAATGATGATGAACATTTTTTCATGTATTTATTTGCCATTTGCATTTCTTCATCTGAGAACTGTGTATTCATCTCAGATGTCCATTTTTGGCTTGGATCTTTGAATTTTGGGGGTCTGATTTTTTTAATTCTTTATATGTTTTAGACAGAAATCCATTGTCTGAGGGGCAGTTCACTAAGACTTTTTCCCAGTTTGTGGGTTTTATTTTCACTATGCTGGCGATTTCTTTTGACATGAAGAAACTTTTAATAAGAGGTGATCCCAGTTATTGATTCTGGGAAGTATTTCCCGTGTGGTTTGATTCCTGTTCATGAATTCTCTACCTACTCCTATGTCTTCGAGGTTTTTATCCAATTTTTCTTGCAACACATTTAATGTTTCGTTTTAATATTCAAATCTTTGATCCATTTAGATTTTAGTTAGTACATGGTGATAGGCATGAGTCTATTTTTAGTTTTTGGCATATGAAGGGCCAGTTTTTCTAGCACCATTTGTTAAAGAGACTCGTTCTTCAAGTGAACATGTTTGGCCCCTTTATCAAAGATAAGGTGGTTGAATGTGTTTGTAGATGTGGTTGTATCTTCTAATGTATTCCATTGATCTTCAGATCTGTTTTTACTCCAGTACCATGTTGATTTTACTACAGTTGCTTTGTAGTATAACTTCAAGTCAAGGCTTGTGATACCTTCTGCCTTGCCTTTGCTGCTTAGAATTGTCTTTGCTATTATAGGTCTTTTCTTGTTCCAGATGTATTTTAGAGGTATGTTGATGGTATTTTTTATTGCGATTGCATTGAATCTGTATAACAGTTTTGGGAGAATGGGCATTTTCACAATATTTATTTTTCCTATCCATGAGCAAGGGATGTCTTTCCATTTTCTGAGATCCTCTTTGATTTCTTCTTCAGAATATTATAATTTACCCTGTATAGATCTTTCACTTCTTTTGTGAGAGTAATTCCTAAGTATTTCATTTTTTTGAATGCTAGTGTGAAGGGTGTGGCTTCTCTTATTTCTCTCTCCATGACTTTGTTCTTAATGTATAGAAATGCTATTGACTTTTGAGTATTGATTATGTATACAGCTATATTGCTGAATTTATTTATTATATCTAAGAGTCTTTCAATGGAGTTTTGGGGATCTTCTATGTAGAGCATCATGTCATCTGCAAATAGTGACAATTTAATTTCTTCTTTTCCTGTCTTTACCCCAATTATTTCTCTCTCTTGTATAATTTCTCTGGCTAGTATTTCCAGTACTATATTGAATAGAAATGGTGATAAGAGACATCCTGTATCTTGTGCCTGATTTTAAGGTAAAGGCCTTCAGTTTTTGGTTATTTCATATGATGCTGGCTGTTGGTTTGTCATAGATGGCCTTTATCATACTGAGGTAAAGACCATCTATTCCAATTTTCTGTAAGGTTCTTATCATGAATGAATGCTGAACCTTCTCAAAAGCTTTCTCTGCATCTATAGACATGATCATGTGATTCTTACTTTTGGCTTTATTGATATGATGGATTACATTTATTGATTTACGTATGTTGAACCATCCCTGCATGCCTGGGATGAATCCCACTTGATCAAGGTGAATAATCTTCTTGATGATTTGCTGCATCCTATTTGCCAATATTTTATTGAGGATTTTTGCATCTGTGTTCATTAGGGAGATTGGCCTGTAGTTCTCTTTTTTAGTTGAGTCTTTCTCCAGTTTTGGTACTAGAGTAATATTTGCTTCCAGGGATGACCTAGAAAGGATTGCTTCCCTTTCAATTTCATTGAAGAGTTTGAGGAGTGTCGGCATTAAGTCTTCTTTGCGTTTCTTGTAGAATTCTGCAGTGAATCTGTCTGGGCCTGGGCTCTTTGTAGGTAAGGACTTAATTACATTTTCAATTTCATTAATAGAGATTGGATTATTCAGCAGTTTTACATCCTCTTGATCTAGCTTTGGTACTTCATGTTTCTAGGAATCTTTCTATGTCTTCTGTGTTATCAAACATTTGAGAGTAGAGGTTTTCGAAATAGGTGTTGATGATCTTCTGTATTTCTAGAGTCCGTAGTGATTTTGCCTTTTTTATCCATATTGCATGAATTTGAGTTTTTCTCCCCTTTTAAAAATAAAGTTGGCTAGGGTCTTATGAATTTTATTTATTCTTTCAAAGAACCAACTCTTTGATTCATTGATTCTTTGGATTGTTTTCTTAGTCTCTATTGCATTAATTTCTGCTCTGAGTTTTATGATTTCTTCCTTTCTTTTGGCTTTGGGCTTGCCTTGCTCTTCTTTTTCTAGCTGTTTGAGGTGTAGCATCAGGTTATGTATTTGTATTCATTCTGTTTTCCTGATGTGGGAACTCAGTGCAATAAATTTTCCTCTGAGGACTGCTTTCATTGCATCCCACAGATTCCGGTAAATTGTATTTGTATTTTTGTTTGCTTGTAGGTATTGTTTAATTTGTTCTTTAATTTCCCCTGTGATCCAGTGATTGCTCAAGAGTGTGTTATTCAATTTCCATGTGTTTGTGGGATTTTTGCAGTATCTTTTATCATTAATTTCTAATTTCATGGCGCTATGAACAGATATCATGCATGGGATAATTTCAACAGATTTGCATTTATTTAAACGTGTTCTGTGAGCTAATATATTGTCTGTTTTAGAGAATGACCCATGTACTGCTGAGAAGAATTTGTATTCTGATGTTGTTGGACGAAACACTCTGTATATGTCTGTCAAGTCCATTTGTTCATTGGTGTGATTCAGTTCTTTTATTTCTTTTGTTATTTCAGTTTCTGTTATTTCTTTTGCTGATTTTGTGTCTGGTTGATCTGTCCCTTGGTGTCAATGGTATGTTAAGGTCTCCTGTTATAATTGTGTTATTGCTTATTTGATTTTTCATTTCTATTAATACTTGCTTTGTATAACTGAGTGCTCTGGAATTTGGTGCATATATAGTTAAGATTGTTATCTCTTCCTCTTTAAGTTTTCCCCTAACCAGTATGTAATGACCTTATTTATCTCTTCTGATCATTCTTTGTTTGAAGTTCACATTGTCTGCAAGCAGAATAGCTAACCCTGCTGTTTTTTTAGGTTCTTGTTGCATGAAGTATTGTTTTCCATCCTTTGACTTTCAGTCTGTGAGTTTCCTTTTGGTTAGATGGGTTTCTTATAGACAACACATGGTTGGATGTTGTTTCTTAATCCATTCTGCCAGTCTGTTTCTTTTAATTGGTGAATTGAGACCATTTACATTAATGGTTATAACTGTTATATATTGGTTTGTTGACATGTTATCTTTCTGCTGTTGCATCTTTATCTTTCCATTCTCTCTGTTTAATTGTCTGCTTTGCTTCGGGTTTTTTCTAAATGTATCTAAACTGTCTTTCTGTATTCTTTGCAGGGTTGGCTTGGTGATCATGAAGTTCTTCAGCTGTTCTTTGTCATGGAAGTATGTTGTTTCTCTATCCATTTTCAAGGACAGTTTTGTAGGGTACATCAGTCTAGGTTGGAAATCATTTTCCTTTAGGATCTGAAATACTTCAATCCATACTCTTCTTAACTTCACTGTTTGTGCTGAGAAGTCTTCTGTGATTCTGATAGGTTTTCCTTTATAGGTGATCTGTCTTGTCTCTCTAGCAGCTTTTAATATTCTATTCTCATGTTGGATTTCTGGGATGGTGATTATATATTTGGTGTAGTTTCATTTTGGTTGTGGCTATTTGGAATTCTATATGCTTCACTGATCCTAATGTCAGTTTCCATTCTCATGTTTGGGAAATTTTCAGCTATTACTTCTCTAACTATCCTCTTGACATCCTTTATGTTCTCCCCTCCTTTTTCGTTTATACCTATGAATCTTACGTTGTTTTTCTTTGCATCATCTTGCAGATGTTGAATGTTTATTTCCTGATTCCTTGTTATTTTTAAAAGATCTTTTCTGTCCTGTTCACTAGTTGCAATTTTGTCTTTGAGGTCTGAAATTCTGTCTTCACTTTTGTTGAGGTGGTTTTTACAACTTTCAATGGAGTTTTTGATTTCCTGTATATCTCTTTGACTCTGCTTCATGTATTCTGTTTGTTTCTTATATTGCTCATCCAAGGATTCTATCTTTTGGCTTTGTTCCTCTAATTGTTTGACTGTGTCTTATTTAGATGTGTTCAGTATCTCTTTAATTACTTTATCATTTCCTGTTTTACCTGGGAGATTATTTCTAGTTTGAATCCTTTTAAAGCTTCTTGGAGTTTCTTTTTTATTTCAGTTGCTATTATTTCAGGTATTTCATGTGTATGGTATGTATTTTCTTCTGTGTACATAGCTCCTAATCTTTCTTGGGATGGGTTGGGGGTTTGAGATTGCATTTCGGTCTTTTATTTTGTCATTTTCCTATATTTCCCTGTTTCAAGTGTTGTTCCAAGGCTTCCCCTGGGCCTGTTGGAAATCGTCTTCTATGCCCTCAGCCCCTGGGACTCTGGCTGCCCAATTTCCTGGCTTTAGAGATTGTCACTGAGGATGGCTGAGGCAGGCTGAAAATCTACAGATCCAGAGCTAATCAAGTGTGGCAGGAATCTGGAAGGTTCCTCTGGCTGTCTAGTTCCCTGGATTGAAAGAGGGTCACTGGGGGTGGCTCAGGCAGGCCCAAGACCCGCGGAGTCAGTCAAGTGTGGCAGGAAGCTGGAAGGTTCCTTGACTACTGGGAATGATTATCTTAAACTCCCAGGGCTTGGGATGGTGCGCAGACACTCACCTCTGGCTGCCCAGTTCCCCAGATTGAGACAGGGTCACTGGGTGTAGCCCAGGCAGGCTGAAAACATATGGAGCCAGAGCTGGTCCAGTGTAGCAGGAAGTTTGCTATCTTGCTATCTTCCTCTATGAACATTCTGCCAATATATTTGAATAATCAAATGATGGGAATATTGTTATATGAAGTTTTAGGATCTATATATGTTCATGATGCAGACACTTGAGAGCTAGTATTTCTTGTATCTTTTTAAGTTAGAGCCTCTGAGTAAAGTTACTCCTCTGCTGGCCATGGACCAAGAAATGCAGATCTAATACAACTTCTCAGCCTTGTACCCAGTGAAGAATCTGCCTTTGTTCTCAAGGATTTCTCTCCGCCATTTTCCAAAAAGCCACAGCTGTCCATCAAGGCCACCGAAGACATCTACTGAGAATTTCTGTTTCTAAACATGCTGTCAAACCAAATTACCTAACCAATTCAGTATGCTGTTAATGTTGAAATACATAGTCACATGGAATGATTTATAGATCCTTTATATATGATTATTGACTCTGGTCACATAGAAAAATGGATACACCTTGAGATCATAATGTTAAGTGAAATAAATCAGACACACAAGATTAAATATTGCATGGTTTCTCTTATATGAGAAACCCAAACTATAAATAAGGAGTAAAATAAAAGATAGATAATAGGAAGTCGGAAAATAGAGCTTTCTCATAGGGGAAAGGGATCATGAGATGAATGGGAGGTGAGGAGATAGAAAAAGGATTTAAGGTCTGCTGTGTACGTATACCGACTCCCCACAAAGAATGTCATCGTTATGCACAATAAACATTTGTAAACAAAAAATACATACTGTTGCTACCAAAAGTCCAGGGAGCTTGTGGAAGAATATAATCCACAGATCATTTTAGATTGTTTCTTACTATGATACTTAGGTATAGAAGACTACGTAAACACTTCTCCTTGAATGCAGAACAACTGCTGAAACAGTTTAATCAAGTCTTATTTCCCTATAATGATTTGTACAGAGTTGGCTATGGTCTGTCTTGCTTTCTTCAATTGGCTCTGAGCAATGCAAGTAAGGCTCGCTGAAGTTCTGATATTTACTATCTGGAATCATTCTGACAGTCTCCTATTTCCTTGCACAGTGCTCTCTGTAAAAGTTAAGCTCAGGGGGGTTGCAGAGCCAGTCATCTCCAGGAATGTCAACTGGGTATGCGCCTGGAAATAAAGAGGCTATGACTCCCTAGGGCACAGAAGTTTACCTATCAGAAACTGAAGCACCAGCCTCCAAATACAGTTGAATTGCTACCTTAATTAAACAATGCAGTGATCCTTCTGCATGTCATTCACCCTGCATTTCTCCTTATCTGGCTAGCCAGCTCAAGTTACTTGCATAGTTCCTGTCATCCATGCTGCCACTCATTCTTGAGTCACCCCCTTCTAGACAAGATCATAAATTCTGGAAGAGCCTTGGATCAAGACCTTTGTCAGCATGTCCTCACTTGGATCAGGTTTAAGAAACCTTGGCTGCCCTTAATTTTGAACATGTCTTGATGTCTTTACCCTTGCTGTGGATTGCATTGGAGATAGATTGGAATTAACTTCCCAGGATTCCAATAATGTCTCAATGAGATTACAAATGTAACTTTTGGATTGTGAGGAGGACTGAAAAAGGGATTACAATACTTGGGTGTACGATACTTAAAGCATGTTAAGATGCTTAACTTCTTCAATTTTTGTTTTTGCTGTTTACATGTTTACAATAAATGTAAATTTCTTTCTGACTTGATCTTGAGGCTTTTCTTTTGAAAGTGACTATAAGCCAAGATAGCCACTCTTTAAGATCCACCAGCAGGGTAAAGTTAGGTTCAGGTGAGACATACGAAGAAATTCTTGCTCATAGGTCCTAGAGAGGTTAGGGTTGTTCAAGAAGCTGATGTTAATTCTGAAGGAAACAGAGAGAACTCGACCAGTGGGTAGCAAGCTAGAGGGGAGCCTTTATTAAGGTCCCTGGGAATTATCTGTTAGATTTGCAGAGGGGTCATGAATTGGTTAAGGAACTCATGGAAAGGTGGAAACTTACTTACATGACTCTGGTGTTGACTTTTATACTTTATATGGTCAGAAGCTATGGGATATATTGGATTTTGGGTCTGTAAGAGGTGGAGTAGTGAGCTAATAGTATACACACGCAACAAAAAAACCCCAAAGAACCCCAAAACAACAAACATACAACCTAAAAAAACTGTGTAGTAAAGTTCTAACTAGATAAAGATGATGAGGAACATTTTGAGTTTTAGATAACTTATGTCACTCCTTAAAGTGGATGTCAAGGCAACAACTATATCAAAGAAAATTATGACAAGTGCAGAACTGACAAATTCCCACATTATTGAGTGACTCCTAACTGATTAATACTGGCACTAGCGCTAGGTCAGTTGAAAACAATGCATCACATTTTGGTTCCCATAGCAAAAGAGCTAGCTGGTCAACTGTTGTTAAAATGAAAATTACATCTAGGCAAAATATGTGTTAAATATAAGTCATGGAGTGTGAGGGTTGAGTAAGGTACACTCTTTGACCATTACATGTATATCTATGTGAATTTTCTTCTAGTCAGATTTTATATGTAATGATCACAATCATTACGGAGAATTTGTACCTGTACATGACATAACTTGTTGTGTGTGTGTGTGTGTGTGTGTGTGTGTGTGTGTGTGTTTCCCATTTCCCTACTTCTCCTTCAACTCTTCTTCTCATCCCCATTATGTGGACTTTTAGGGCAGTGTGATACATGGAAACCCCCCCCCCCGCCCATTGCTGAGTGTTTGCTATGTGTCGTTGTTCTGATACTATTGATTCTAAAACATTTTGTGTTATCTTTTAGGGGTGAGAGTATTGAAATTAGGTAGCCCAATGAGATTAAGTTCTAAGTGGAAAAATTAAGCCCTCAGCTGATGTATACTTTTCATTACATCCTCTCTATCGTGTTTAACGAGTCTGTTTTATCCTCATTAAAACTGATCTGTTCTGTGTTCCCTTCTCTCATCTTTTGTTGTTTCTTAAACATCATCTAGTTAATCACCCATTTAATCAAATACACTAATTCAGGGACAATATCTTCTTCTTTCAAGGCCCATAGTCCACCACTGTCTGAGACTGAAAGAATGTTGGTGGACATTTCAGACAGTGTGGAGATAGCAAGTCAGATTGTACCATGAATGCTTCCTGAATTCTGTAAGCCTTACAGTTGCTTAATTACTTATCAACTTCCCAGGGGTCCCTGGAGCTGGTATCTAAGCGAATCTACATGACTTGGGCCAGATCTTTTTCCTGCCAACACTAGAGCAGAAAACTGAAGGAATTCCCTAGCTCTTTAAAGCAAAAATAAACGAGGATAATTAGGTAACAGCTAAGATTTTTCGGGGAGATTTTGCCAGGTGCCCCCATCCCTGGTCTTTGTGCAGATCTGCTTCTGTGAAACAGCTCTGGCTGTTCTCCCAGCCCAAGAGGAGCTCCAGTGATAAATTTAAAAAGAATGTTTAGAGTCATCTCATTATTCCATCTACTCCCTTGTCAATGGTTTTGTTTGAAATGTTAGACTATATTTTAGAAGTGGAGATTAAAAATTAACATTAAAATGAAGCTATTTCTAGGTGTGTGACACAAAACATTGCTTTTTCTCTTTGCTCTTGAGAATTTAATTGCAGCAAGCTTTTACACTGGCTTTTAACTAATGTGCAGAAAAGATTTATTTAATGAAAACAATTAATAAAAAATTTGGCCTAATTCCCATTTGTCTATTTGGTTCATTCCCCAGACTTTTGATGAAAACCATTAAAAATTATTGCAAAGTGAATACCAGTGGGGCCTACAGTCTTGGCACAACATTGTCTAGTGAAGACTGTGATAAAATGTTTATATTTCCATTTCACCACAGCAAATATATATAGAAAAGGATATTAACAAACAGGAACACAGTAACCTTCATTCAGGCATGTTTCTGTTTGGGAACAAGTGTTGGGCAAAAATTTGCCACCTTCGCTCAAGAAAATGGCTGCGGCCATCTCCACAGAGCAGAATAAGGGAAGGAATTAAATCCTTGAACTGAGGTATCAATATGTTTAATTTATGTACCATTGGTGAAGACAGTTGAGGGAAAGATGTATGTTTTCTTTAAAAGGGATCATAATCAGAAGTTTAGAAAAATTTTATTAGGTAAATTTTAACTTTTGTTTATTAATTTATTAGGTAAATTTTAACTTCTTTAAATTTGATATTTCAAACATGAAAAAGAATAAAACAACAAAAACATTCATCTGTTAACTTTTTAAAAATTTCTTTTAAGTCTTTTTTTAATAAAACAAATGTAAATGTACAATTGAGGACCTTTTTTGCAGGGGGGGTGGGGAATCCTTTGGCACTAGGCAAGTTCCCTAAGCTCTCTGTTTTTGGGTTTTGGTTGTTTCAGCTGAAACATGGAGATAAAACTGTCCAGCACCTCACAGGTTGTTGAGAAGATTAAATGAATAAAAATGTAAACAGCTGAGAGCAGTGCCTGATGTAAGCATGTTTTGTTGACATCTGGGGACCACTGTCTGTGTCCTCGGTCTCAGCTTCTTCTTCCCCCAGAAGCAGGCACTATTGTGTATCATTCTAATCAATGCCTCTATGCTTTTAACATACAATACTGGTGTCTTTAAAAATGACATACCTGTAAATTTTACACATACTGTCATAGTATGTTTGTTCTTCTGCAGTTTTTCTCAGTGCTAGGTTTTTAATATCTCTGAATGTTGGGAAGCTGAGATCAAATTCAACCCATTAATTCCATCATAATATTTGATTGATTTTATTACAATTCCGTTTTCCCTCTCATAAATGCTTACTTCCAGTGTTTTAGCATTATAAAAATACTGTTATGAAGGTTTATGTGTATACATTCTGCATGCATTAGTGAGAACTGCCTTCATGGTCAAAGTGCTTTCCATTTGGATTATATCATTGTACCTCTAAACCAAGGTTCCCATAAGAGTTGAAGAAATTGAGATCTTATTTCATAATGAACAACCCATTTGCCTGTTTAAAGGAGACTTGTTGGGAAGTTCTGCCTTAGGGAAGTCTTCAGGTTGGAGTGTGTGTGCCTCAGCATCACTCCCCAGCCTGTAGTCACGTGTGTGCATGTGTACACTAACCTACCTATGGCCATGCTCACATGCTTACTACCTGCTGATAGAAGGACTCTATCAACACAATCCATTTCCAGACCCTGATACTGATTTGTCTGAGAGCTACATGTAAGTTCCTACTTCTTTATTCACTGTCATCTTTTCCTATGCTTATATTTAAAAAATATTTGTTGTTTATGCAAATTTGATTATAACTGGGGTTTTGTGTGTGTATGTGTGTGTGAGACAGACAGAGAGAGAGAGAGAGAGAGAGAGAGAGAGAGAGAGAGAGAGAGAGAGAAAGAAAATTTGCTAAATTAGGCAGTCCTGGTAGAGTTTGAGATGGTATTTTGACATACAAATAATCTTAATTCAGTTATATTTTAGAGTTGGATGACAAGACACTTGTTTAATGATCTCTCCTGTTTTATCTCCTGATTGTCAAAAAACTCATTGATTCTGAGGGTGAATCTCGTGAGAGCAAAACAGGTAAGAAATATAGAAGGCACTGGTATCTTTATTTCACTTAGTGAATCCATGACAACACTCTGGTCTTTTCACCATCCTGAGAATATTCAGAAGTTGTAAAAACCACACTGGAAAGATGAGTCTATTGAGAAACACCCTCTGAATTTTTCATTCTAACGAAGTACTGTAGGGAACATGTTTTTCTATCTTGGTTTATCCATATTTATAGATTTAAGAGAGGAGCATATGAAAACATCTATATTTATTTACCATAGATCAACATTATACCTTTTGGTAAAATAAATGCATGTTGTAAATAATAGTTTTTATATTTTCTTGAACAATTATTTAAACTTATAGAAGAAACATTTCTACTACCTCTTCAAAAGATTATTGAATACCATAAATCCATGTACACTTTTTATTTGAACTCACTTGCTACTCATGGTTACTCATCAACCTACTCTTAGCTCATTTTTTCATTTTTATCATTTGCTTACTTAGATTTATGTAATTTAACGGGGGCTTTACTGTAAAAATGACACTTCAGTGTTAATATACTATTAGTAAGGTTTGCATTACTAATGGCCTCTTTTATTTTGCTGTTAATTTACAGTGAATTTTGTTTCATTTTAGCAGTAATAATTTTTGGATACATAAGCTAAGTAAAATAACTATAATGACCTATTAATTTCATTAAGAGATTAATGTTTGAAAAGAATTTTACTTATATCTAATTTTATTTATATCTAATAACTATAAAATTCATAGTACATTTAGCTCTTGATCTATAATTGTTTAGTAGTGACTAGTTTAACAGAAATTAGTAATATTTTGATTACTACTAAAGTAACAGTTTTTAAATAAAGAGAAAATTTTAATCCTCATAATTTTCAAGTCATAAGACAGTAAAACTTTTCTATTTTTAATATACATATTCCCTAACAGAAATATGATAGAATGGTCAATAAAAAACATTCAGACATAAAACATATTACACTAAGATAAACTTCAGTGGTAAATAATAATGAAAATGAAAGTTAAAAAGGAGACGAGGTAGAATTTCAAAGTGTTAAAGAATTGTTCATATATTTTGAAAACTAGATGTTAATGGTTAGTTAACACCATTTTTGAATACCTTTAAAAGAAGACA